TGGGGAGGGCAGTGGGGTGTGCGGGAAGGGGGGGGGGACCGTCACGGATAGGGTCTGGGGGTCGCAGATAGCGAGGTGTCGGGGTGGGCCTGGAGGGGTTGGCTTGGGGCAAATGGGGGTGTTGGGGCCAGGCGTGAGGGGTGGGTGGTCGTGGGGTCGGCTGGGGTCTGAGGATGGAGACCCTGGAGCTGATGGCAGGTCAGGGAGAGAGTCGGCAGGCGTCCGTCGCAGCGGAGATGGGTCAATGTGCGCCGGTGGCGGTGAGAGGGTTTGTGCACCGGGTTTCTACGGGAAGGTGCGAGTGGACGCGAGTGTGTTTCTCCCGACACGCCGTCCTCCGCTGATGCATCTGGTGGGGTTGGCAGGGCGGGAGCGGGAACGATATTGCTCCTCACCTCTACAGGGTGGGAGCCTGGGGAGATTTTTCTCACCGTCCGTTTCTCTCACCCGCAGACAAAGCGACAAACCCCCTGAACAAGGACCTGGACTGGGATGGTATCAATGCTTTCTGTGAGCAGCTCAATAAGGAGCTAGAGGGGTAAGTGCTTCATCCTTCCCCCAGGCTGCTCTGGGTCACAGCCTGGGTTATGATTCCTCACCCAGTAAAATTCAGTGGGGTTGTCCTGAGAGCTGAACAGGCACAAAGCTTCTCAAAGTGGGGGTGGGTGGGGGGTCCTGGTCTGCTAACAGAAGGTTCCCCCAGGGTTTTGAGGTGTCTTGGTGCCTTATCAGTGCCTTAAACTTGCAACATGCTTTTCAACCCTGGACTCCTAGGCAGAAACACAGGTACCAGGCTTTTCAGCAATAACGGGCTAGCTTTTTTTCTTCCCCTTGCTCCTTCCAGTCCTCCGCTTGCTACCCGACTTCTTGCCCACAAGATCCAGTCTCCGCAGGAATGGGAAGCTATCCAGGCCCTCACGGTAAGGGCATCTGCAGGCTGGTAGAACTAGGTGGAGGGCCAGGGTGTGGAGTTGCTCCAGTTTGACTGGAGGAGCACAGGAAGCTTTGAATTCCCTCTGAGAAAGCCCTGGAGCACCTGGGCCGTTGGGTGGGAGAGGGGCTGAAGGTCATTCCACAAGAGAGGAGGGGTGACTGGTAGGAAAGGCCTTGTTGCTAGGAAGGATCATAACCTGTTGAAGTTGATAGGAAGCTTTTTGTCCTTTGTTGTGGTGGACTTGGCAGTATTAGGTTAATGGTTGGACTCAGTGATCTTAAAGGTCTTTTCCAACCTAAATGATTCTATGATTCTTAATGGTGTTGTGGATCCACGCTGTGAAACCCCGGTGTTTGTGAGCTCTCTAAGGGGTTCCCTTTCCATGGGCTGTTGAGCCACCTTTGCAAAGACTGACCCCAAAGAGGAAAATCTTCTTGCTTCCCTTTGGGAGGGTGCTTGGCCACCTGGGACAGCAAGGGGGTGTCCCTCCGCACTGCTGTGAGGATAGCCATAGGTTCCATGCCTGGCCAGGGTGGAGCAGGAGGGAGCTGGCTCCTGAACCTGCTGCTGACCCCATGCTGGGGCTCACCTGGCCCCACCTGGCCCCTCTCCCCAGGTGCTGGAGTCCTGCATGAAGAGCTGCGGCAAACGCTTCCACGACGAGGTGGGCAAGTTCCGCTTCCTCAATGAGCTCATCAAAGTGGTGTCACCCAAGGTGGGTCTCAGAGCATTGTGCTGGAGGGGACTGAAGCCTGGTGGCAGGAGGGCTTTGGGAAGAAGTGGTGGCTGAGCAGAAAGGTCAGGCACCTGCTGGGATGTGGAGGAGACAGGGCAGTGCTAGTAGGAGGTTTAGTCCTTGTTCCCTGGTGAGTTTTCTGTTGGGAAGGTGAGCTTTCACCCCTCTGCTCCAAGCTGATTCTTCATGCAGGAAGCTGAGAGCCAGCTAGACATGATGCAACCAGCGCTTGTGAGACTACTGAGCTCATGTGCGTGCCTGGAGTCACCTTCCCTGCAACTCTGTTGGGCTCTGTCTGTGCTGCATGTGCTCAGGAACCTCCCCCAGCTTTGACATCGTGACCACGTCTCTCTGGGGTGTCCCAGCCTGGTTGAGACACTCTCTGAGGGCAAGCCCAGGCCTGGTCAGTGGTGCTCTGACGAGTCCATCTGAAGCACCACATCGTTACCTGCTCCTCTGCTGATGCTGCTGGTCCTGCAGCAGAATAAGCTGTGCGTGCTCTCCTATTCAATCAAGGCAGTTAACACCAGCAACTATAGAGTTAAGGGAACACAGACTAAATATGACTAAGGAAAATCTTCGTCTGCCAGTCACAGCTTGTGATCTGTGTCAACAAATAGTCAGGGACAGTGACAGCGGCATCCTAAAGTCCTTGCTAGGCGCCCTAGAGAATGTCCTGTACCTTAAGCCACTGGCCTCCGGTGGCACATGTGCTGTTTCTAACACCAATGCCCCCAGCAGACCGAGGGGAGAAGGGTGAAGGATGATTGCATGGCAGAGGGAGAGCTGTAACATTTGGACATCTCACTGCTGGGTGCTGGTCATCTGGAGCTCAACTAGTTCTAAAGGGTGCCAGGCTTTGGAGAGTGCCCCTGAGAGAGAGAGAGAGAGAGGGCTGGGCCCTGCCCTAGGGACCGTTACCCACAGTCCTTGCCCTCTCCCAGTTCTGCTGTCCCCTTGTTCCTGGAGGGCTGCTGTGCCGAGCAGCTCCTGTTTGGAGTACCCTTTCCTTCACAAGGTGACAAAGACCTGCCTGAGCCTTCCCACCTGTCCCTGTGTGTCGCTGAGGGGCTGCTGGTGCAGCGCTTCTCTCACCTCTTGTGTTTCCTGTGGTGGAAACCAAGCACAGCATAGAACGTGTTGCAAGGACCTTGTGAGCTTTCCTGCTTGCTTCCTCTTTCCTCCTCCTTGTGCCGTTGGGAACGGTCTCACTTCTCCTCGGGGAGGGGAGGAGAGGAACAGGCCAGGCTTGCAACGGCTCAGATCAGCTTCAAGCCACCACTTCTCTCTTCCTCCAGTATCTTGGCAGCCGGACACCAGAAAAAGTGAAGTCAAAGATCCTGGAGCTGATGTACAGCTGGACATTAGGGCTGCCTCACGAGGTGAAGATCTCAGAAGCCTACCAGATGCTGAAGAAACAAGGTGAGAGGCAGTGGTCTGAAAGAGGAAGGGGCATGGACGGTTTGCTCTTCCCTGTTTTTTGTCCGGGTAGAATCCAAAACATACTCTCCCTTTCCTGTTCCCAGACCCAGCACATCCATCAGTCTGGCTCAGCACCAGGGGCAGGTGCAAGAGCAGGTGCCTTGGGGCTCCTAGCTGGCCAGAGGGAGTTGCTGGTGGTCTGAGTTTCTTGATGAGTTGGAGGGGACATCTGCTTGCTCCTACAGGAGATGGGGCACTGGAAAGGTCTGGGACTGAAGGGTTGCGAGTGCTTTGGCAGTTGATGCTGGGTTTTTCTAAGAAAGGATATTTAATGGGAGTGGAGGGCTGTTCTTCCATGAAAACACAATCCAGGATCATGGGTAGCAGGAGCAAACCCACACACCCTCAGTCCCAGCTGGGTTTGGTGGGCCATTAGGGAAGAAAGGACCTAGGTGGCAGCCCCATCCCCCAGTGGGGCGAGTCTTCCTGACCTCTCCGTTGGTGTCTACTGCAGGGATTGTGAAGTGTGACCCAAAACTGCCTGACGATGCTCCTTTTCCACCGCCTCCCCCTCGGCCGAAGAACATCATCTTTGATGATGAAGAGAAATCCAAGGTAAGGGCTCTGTGCAAGGAGAGGGACAGTGGGCAGCATCTTCCCTGCTCCAGGATCTCCTATCCCCTTGAGGCAGAGATCCAGAAAGACTCACCCCCCTGCTCCACATGCTCTCCTTCAGAAAATGCATCACAGGAATGCTGAGGGCCCGCTCCAAAATCATGATGAAGGAAACACCCAGAGGTGGGGCATGTGGGTCTGTTTGACCTTTGGAGCACTTAGCTGCAGGATGGTGCAAAGGGTGAAGTGCTGACATTAGCCCAGCAGGTTCTGGGAGGTTTGCTGCTGTGCTGTCTCCAGGCTTGTGAGTTCCAGGCCATGAGGTTTAAATCCCAGCCCCAGATGCTGCTGCTGTTATCTCTTCCCCACCCCCAGCACTGCAATCTGCTTATTGCCCAACTACGTATACCCTCCTGGACCCATCCTATATTGCCTTTCCATCAGAACTGTGTCACCACTCAGGCAAACTGCTGCATTATCAGTGCTGATACATTTAAGCAAGTATTAGGCTCCTCTGGGTCTAGTTCTGCAGCAGAGGTGTGATCCCAATTTGCTGCAGGGGATTTATTTTGCCTCCATGGGTCACAGTGTGCAAATGAGGATTTGTAGGTGGCCAGTGGCACTGTTCACTGTCTGTGGAGGGGGAGAAAAAGTGGGAGCTCTCCCTTTTCCCCAGTTGCACCTGCAAAGAGGCCTGTGAAGAGGTCCGAGTAGGAGTCCATTACAATCCCATGGTAATTCCTGCGAAAACCAGGCTTTCTGTCGTTCTCAGTACTAGTGCTGCTGTGCTCCAGGGTCTCCATGGTGCGTAACAGGCAGGGAGGAGCAGGTTTTGAATGCAGGGGATCTTCAGGGAAGGACCTATCTTACATAACCAGAACCACAACGGAAAAAGGAAGATCGGTTGTACTACTTCTCTCCCTGGTCTCTGATGGCCCACAAGCTCTTGTGGCTGGGCTTTCAAATGGCTGGCATTGTCTGCTGCCTCTGCCAGATACGGGTTTGGGGCAGGGGTAGTAACTCTACTGGCTCTAGTGTTGCACGATTGACTCTGGCTGCCACTCATCAGCTTGGGCTCAGAGATAACTTCTCTTTTGCAGATACTGGCTCGTCTCCTGAAAAGTTCCCATCCTGAGGACCTCCGGGCTGCCAACAAGCTCATCAAGGAGATGGTTCAGGAGGTGGAGCTGGGGGGTCATGGTCTGGGTGGCAATGCTTGGCACTAAGGGAACAGTGGGTCTCTGTCCTCATGCAGACATATGGAGCTTCTGCCCAAAATCTTGCAGCAGCAGCAGCTGCTAAAGAGTCCTTGTGTGATTTCTGCCATCCCTTGGCTACTTGAAGGAATGGCTGTGGGCGCTTTCTGTGGCCCAAGCCCTGCTGCAGCACTAGATCTGCAGCAGTTCCATCCCTGTTTGGCAAGTGCTGGCCCAGAGATGATCTGGAGTTTTCCACTGGAGTGGGAGCTGTTTTGAGGGCAGCGTTGCTGTGCCTTAGTCCAGGGCGTTGGTGTGTTGGCTGGCCCAGCCTTCCTCCTCTCCAAGTTGCAGACAAGAGCAAGGACATCCTTCCCTATGTGCTTCCCCTCCAGGACCAGAAGCGCATGGAGAAGATCTCCAAGAGGGTGAATGCCATTGAGGAGGTGAACAACAATGTGAGGCTGCTGACAGAGATGGTGACAAGCTACAGCAAGGGGGAGACAACAGAAAGCAATGAGGACCTAATGAAGGTGAGGAAAGGCCATCCTAGCACCCTCCCTGGGCTTAGCAGAGATGGGTGACCGTTATCCCCCCAAGTTCCTCTTGCCTGTTTTGTACCCCCAGCTGAGCATCCTGCTGATTGCCTCAGCACCCCTTTCTTCTCTCCCCCAGGAGCTGTATCAGCGCTGCGAGCGCATGAGGCCCATGCTTTTCCGGCTTGCCAGTGACACAGAAGACAATGATGAAGCTCTGGGTAAGCGTATCTGGCCTTTCTCATTCTGTCCTCCCTCTATCCTCTTTCAGGGAGCCTGTGCTTCAGCTGCCCATGGCATGGCATCTATCAGTAGTTGCTGCTCTGTTTGGGGTGACTGCTCACTGTAGGTTAGTTAGTCTATGGCTTGGCACTAAGCAGGGGCAGTCAGCGGTGTTACAGGCTTCCTCTGCTTCACTGTAGGAATGATGCTTAAGCTTGTCCTGCTGAGACTGACATGGAAGTGTCACGGTACCCTGGTGCAGTCTGCAGCAACAATTGTGAAAGCGCTATCTGCAGCGGGCTGTTAGCAGTTCCTTGGGCCTTGCTTTGAAGAAATAGAGTTGGGGTATAAAAGTCACTCTGTTTCTTCACAATTTTCAAACTTACTTCCCACCTATTCTGTTGCAGCAGAGATCCTGCAAGCCAATGACAATCTGACACAGGTGATCAATCTCTACAAGCAGCTTGTACGGGGAGAAGAGATCAATGGGGAGACGGTGGCTGGTCCCCTTCGAGGTGAGGAGACTTGGGGAATGGGGACAGGAACGTCAAGCAGAGGGACCCTATTGCTGGTTTCCTGCAGTATGTAATTGCAATGTAAGAGAAGATTGAGAGAAGTGGAAAGGTGAAACCTGCAGGACGTCAGACTGGGACTGGTGAGATCAGGAAATTGGCTTGTAGAGATGACTGATGCATGAAGAGAGGGAATAGGAAGGGAGAACAGAGGGGGAGTTCCCCCTCTCAGGTGTGAGGAAGGATGGGAACTGGCCTCAGCACACTGGATAAGGGTTTCTGTTTCAGCTTGTTCCTTCTTTGCAGGCAGCACCTCAGCACTTCTGGATCTGTCGGGCCTGGATCTTCCAGCAACAGGCCCTTCCTACCCAGCCTTGCCCACCCTTTCAGGTGGCTCAGCAGTCCCCGTGCCTGACCAAGCTGGCTCTGTCTCCTTGCTGGATGATGAACTTATGTCTTTAGGTGAGAAATCCAGAGCAAAAGCTCTTTATTCTCCTTGTGGCAGGAACATGAATAACGGAGAGCTCTGGGAGAGGTGAATAATGAAAGACCAAGAGGTGTCCTTCACTTAGTGTGAGGCAGAAGGAGGGAAGGACTCTGCTATGATTCTGAACTTCAGTCCCGTGCGGTTTTCCTGGCTAGTCAGAGAGAGCCTGCAGGGATGTGCCCTCTGATTTGCTCTGGGAAAACTGACCTGGCAGGTAAATCAACAGTGATGCAATGGCCATCCCCAGATGGGATCACAAGGTTGGATCACCCCCAGCTCTTCATCTTTACTCCTTGCAGTTGAAGTCATGAGCAGACAACAGATGCATTGGACTTCCAGAACTGTTGACATGGATATCTTGTGAGGTGCCAATCCTAGAAGGCTGTAGAGTCATGCTTTTCCCAACAAAGTGTTTTGTTTCCTAAGATAGGTGCTTTGAGTACAACAGCATGAAGTAGACAATGTGGTCAGTCGGGCTTGCCAGCCGGGTAGTATTCACTACTCTGCCAATTGCAGTGAGAACTAGACTGTAAATGAGGATCTCTGGGCAGAAAAAACACTATTGCCCTCCCAGCTCTCCCCCATGCAAGGATGGGGGCCAGAGATGGAGACCACATTGGTGGTTCTGCCTTGCTGCTTCTGTGTCTTATTTGGGCCCTGTTTAATGCTCTTACCCACTTGGTAGCTAAGCTTCATGTTTGCTTTTACCCCTGGCAGGCCTGAATGACCCAGCACCGCATCCTGCCCAGGCTGGTGACAGCAGTGGCTGGAACAGCTTCCAGGTAACGTGCTGGGAGCCAGGGCAGAGGGTGGGGAGGGTGGTGAAAGCAGCAAATGGAGTAGGTAGGGAAACATTCCACATCTGATGGTTGGTGCTGATATGCAACCCTGCTTGAGGGACTCTCCCGTGCACTCTTTTTTTACAGTCATCAGATAGCACCGAGCTCAGTATCACCCCTATCACAGCAACGCCACCAGTCAAAGCAGAAGCTGGCGCATCCTCCCCAAAACCTTCTCCTTTCACCAGTGGCCTGGACGACCTGGACCTCCTGGGCAAGACTCTGCTGCAACAGTCTTTGCCTCCAGAGTCTCAACAAGTGCGATGGTAAGCAGGGATAGTGCAATCCTGCATCTCTCCCCATCATTTCCATTTTTGGGGTGCTGCACATGACATTTCAGTGCCCTGTTCCACTCCTTGCTCTCTCTCTCCCTACAGGGAGAAGCAGCAGCCACCCCCGCGGCTCACCCTGAGGGATCTCCAGAACAGGAGCAGCTCTGGCACCACAGCCCACAATCCCAGCGCTCTGCCCGTGCTCCAGAGTGTTTCCCCTAACCCCACGCTGCCGCTGACCTCGGAGCTGTCTGCCCCTGCTACGCTTCCAAAAGCTGCCACCGCACCAGCAGGAAGTACTGCAGTCCCACCACGGCCTCCTGCCGCCGTGCTGCCCCAGGAGATCTCGCTGGCCAACATCACTGTGCCTCTGGAGTCAATCAAACCCAGTGAGCCAGGGCGAAAGAGGGGGGCAAGCTTGGGGGGAACAAACCGTGCACACATGGAAGGGAAGAATGTGAGGAAACTTTTTGCTTGTTGGATTTTGTGGAGGTTGAGGAGGAGTGGTGTCTCTGTCACTTGTATGGAGTTTGGGTGGTGGGGAAAGGTTGCTGCAGGGCCAATTCCCTCCTGGCTGACTGCTGCCTGTCCCTGCCTTTTCCACAGGCAGCATCCTCCCTGTGACGGTGTATGATCAGCACGGCTTCCGTGTCCTTTTCCACTTTGCTAAGGATGCCCTGCCCGAAAGGCCCGATGTGCTTGTGGTGGTGATTTCTATGCTTAGCACAGCCCCGCAGCCCATCCGCAACATTGTCTTTCAGTCTGCTGTCCCCAAGGTAAGGTGGCTGCAGCGGCTGAGGTCCCCAGACTGGGCTGAATTATGATTCTGTCTTTGCAGGAAAGGCAGGGTGGGTGGAGGGAGCTCCATGGGACTCAGAGCAAGTTGTGTGGCCTTCAGATTAGCAGGAACCAGCACAATGTTTTTTCTCTTTGAGTAGACAGTGGAAGGTCCCCAAATACGGGAGCAAGGTCTCTGGCTGCCAAGTCCCCCTCAGGAATGTGTGGTGTTCTTCTCTCTCCCTAGGTGATGAAGGTGAAGCTACAGCCTCCCTCAGGCACAGAGCTGCCGGCATTCAACCCCATTGTCCACCCCAGTGCCATCACGCAAGTCCTGCTGCTCGCTAACCCACAGAAGGTAACGGCACTGTCCCTGAGGCATGAGCAGAGGCTGGTCTTGCTGCCTGGGCAAAGCCTGCCTACCTTGTCTCTATTCCCTCTGCTCTCTGCAGCTTCCTAGAGACCTGAATGGTTTGTACCTCATGCCTTTCTTCCCCGCCCTTCTGACTGCTTATCCTTTCTCCCCTGTCTGCAGGAGAAAGTGAGGCTACGGTACAAACTGACCTTCACCATGGGAGAGCAAACCTACAATGAAATGGGGGATGTGGACCAGTTCCCCCCACCGGAGTCCTGGGGAAACCTCTAGGGCCACACATTGCAGGCACTACACTGCAGAGTCCTCGGGAAGCCGGCCCTGCAGGGCTGGAGCAGCCTGAGGAGGTGGGGAGGGCGGGTGGGGGGCTGCCGCTCACGCTCTATTCTCCAGGCGGCCGGGCGAGGGCCGGAGGGAGTGTGCCTCAAGGAGGAGAGCAGAGACGCCAGGAGATGTTCATCCCACAAGACTAGGAGTAGAGTGGAAAGCTTCGTGTGGGTGAACAGTTGCCTTCCCTGCTCTTCCGAAGGCGACACTCCCTCCCCCGTCTGTCCAGCTTCTCTTCTAACCCTGCTTTCCGCCTCTAGGTGCAGTGGGGAATGAGGATTGGGGAGATTTAACAGCCTCAGCCTGGGGCAGGGCCTAGCGAAGGAAGATCCTTTTCCATGTCTGTCCCCTCCATGCTTCCCAGCCCTTCAGCTGCTTCATGCTCTGTGGTGCTCCCCCTTGTCCCCCTTGCCCCCTCCTTGGAGCTGGGCCCCAGTGGTTCCCTGCGTGGTGGGATCACACAGGAGCTGGTGTGGAGCAGGCTGGACAGATGTGTCTCCAGCACTGGAGAGCAGGCAGCTGCCCTTGCTTTGCGGGGGGGTGAGGGGGAGTGATCTCCTATCTCCCTCCTTCCAGCTGCTTAGAGAGCTGTTGGTGGGAGGTGGGCCCTGGAGTGGGACCCCCGGTGCTGGGGGGGGGGAGCTGAGTCTCCCCACAGCCTCCTGCCCAACAGGGTGAGGACATGGTCTTCCTCCCCCTGACTGGGCTGGAGAGTGTGGTGGGGCAGGGGGCTTTCTCAGCTCTTCAGTGTCTTCTTGCCATGAGGGGCTATAGGAATCGAGGAGAGACTGGAGTCCAGCCCATCACTGGGGACACACACTACTAAAGCTCTGCACTGGGGGGGTACGGGGGGGGGGGGATAGCTGTGCCTTGCGCACCCTTGCCCACAGCCGTGGGCAGCCCTGGCTCCCTGTGGCAGGGAGGGGGCTCGCCCCAGCCGCCTGATCACTGTGACACAAGAGCGGGGATCTGCAGGCACGGAGGAGATGCAGGGGTGGCACATCCCCTAGCAAACCCCATCCCCATGGGACTTGGCAACCACGGGAGCTGCTTCCCGTCCCTAAGCTGGTTTTAAGAGAGCCTGATCTTAAAAGCAGGGGCAGGCTGCGTCTCTGCTTCGGCTTGCCAGAGGTTGGAGGCAGCGAGCGGGGTGCCTTGCGCTCTTGGCTTAGGGACGGCAAAGGTGAGGTGTCTTGGAGCTGGGCGCAGCGAGCAGTAGAGGAGAGGGGGAAGCAAGGTCTTTATGCTGGTGTTCTGCTGTGTCTTACTTCCCTTTCTGGTCTCTTTTCAGGGTTTTGTAGGGGTTTTTTCTTTGCAGATCTTGTTTGGTTCTTGAACAGACTTGTATATATTTTCAGTGCAAAATTCTGTAAATGGAAGAAAACAAAAAGATTTAAAATGAAACGCCCGGCGCGAAGAATCTGCTGTATTTATGGGAAATAAAGAGTTCTTTCCTGATCCTGTCCGTCTGTCTTTTGACCTAAAGCATGTATTTTCCCCTCCCCTGACCCCCGAGGAGCTGTTTCCACCCTGCAAGGGCTCGTTTCCATCTCAAATCCTGCCCCTGCAATCCTGTAATTCATCCCCCACTCACCCCGGGGCCTTGTCATGATGATTTCCCCACTCCCGTGAGCAGGGAGAGGGGATGGTGGAAGTCCCCCAGCTACTCTCAATTCCTGTTTGAGAGCAGAGTCACTTCCAGGCTGCGAGCTGGGCGCTGCCTGCTTCCCTCCTTCCCCGGGAAGAGACAGTGGGCAGGGGTCAGTGCCCCGCAGCCCCCGAGCTGCTTTTTTTTGTTTGCAGCTTTGCCAGGGGCTGCCTCTCGGAAGAAGTGGCTCTATAGGGGCAGTTTTATTGCAAGGGTGCAAAGAGGTGGATCTGCTCTGGCGAGCAGCAGCGCCAGCACTGGGATCAGGGCTCTGATGTTGCATGGGAGGAAGGAGACCACAGCTTGGCCACCACCTAATGCAGCCAGCAAGGGTTTGGTGGGGCTTTTCTGTCTTTGCAATAGGTGCTTGAAGCCCTTGTCTGCTTTCAGCAACCACAATGCATGTTAGGAACACCCCTGGGGATTGCAGCTGGGGGATCGGATGTGCTTGGCCACAGGTTTAGAGCAATCTGGTGTTTTTGGGCAGGGAGAACTGTGCTCCCTCGCCCAGTCTCTGCTTGAAAACAGCTGCTAGCACTGCTTTGCTATGCACTCACTGGAGGCTCGCCCCCGCCACCAAAGAGCTGAGAGCCCAGCAGTCCCCAAATTATTGCTCCTTAGGCTTTGGGGCACAGGTGGAGTGGCCTTTCCACTTCTTTTTCCTTTGCTGCTTCTCATCTGCCCACAAAGCTGACCACTTCCCATCTGGGCTTGTGTGCTAGTTCCTTTGCCAGCCCCATGTAACCCAGCCAACAGCAGCCTCTGCTCTTTCTTGGTGCAGGAGGAGGAAAGTCCCAGCTGCAGGTAGCCAGAGATAAGGCGAGGTTTCCATCTCATAGAGCCAGCAGCAAAGGCGGTGATGGTGTGAGGGGGATGTTTTTAGACACACACACAAAAAAAAAAAAGAAAAAAAAGCTGAGCCCTGCTGCAGATCTGCAGAGAGCAGGCAGCACCCGAGCCTGTGAACCGGGAGTTTGCGGTCCCCGGGTGCTGCTGCTCTGCGCTTGGGCCTCCTGCTCGGAGGAACTCTGCCAGCGGTGGGGGAGCGGGGAGGAAGGGGACATCCCCGGGGGAAAAGGGCAAGAGCGCTTGGCCGCAGCTTTGCGGTGGATTCGGAGAGCCTCGGCGACGGGCAGGGAGGAAAAGCGGGGTGGGGGGCACGGAAGGAGTTGCAGGGGTGGCTTTGCTGCTCGTCCTCCCGCTTTTGTCACGACGAGGGGGATATGTCTCAGAGGGAAGAGGATGGAGAAGCGCCCGAGGAGCGTTGGCAGAGTTTGGGTGACCAGGTAGGGCGGGGTGTACATCGGGCACCCCGTATGCACCGCACAGCCAGCTGGCACGGCCATGGGCTGCCCCGTGGTGCAGCTGGTGGTGAGCAAGGCAAGCGGTGGCGGGGGGAACCACCCTGGCTGAGGCAGAGAGCAAGAAACAGAGCGTGGGCCCTTTGCTTGCGCTCGGCAGCGGCATGTGCTTGTCCTGCCTTGTTACGTGTTTGCTGTAATAATATTTCCCCTTTAAGGCTGGGCTGAAGTTATTTATACTTGTGGGGTGGTGACAGGAACACAGAGCGAAGCAGGAGCCCTGAACCGCTCTTACCTGATCTGCGGCAGAGGGGCGGACGGAGGCGGAAGGAAACTCAGATAGAGAGAGGGAGCAAGAGAAGGGGGACCGAGGGACGGGAAGAGAAAGCAGCAGGGCATCCCCGGGGAGGGACGAGGGAGGGGACCAGCTGGGGAAAGAGAAAAAGGGGGAACAAGGGAAGGAAGGAGAGAAGCAGGGAGCGAGAGGTCCTCAGGGAAAAGCAAGGGGCAGAGCGGCTCTGGGGAGCCGAGGGGCCACCGGCATCCGATGCCAAGCGTCGCCAAGGGGTGCTGAGCGGCGGGTACAGCCAAGCGGAGCGGCTCTTGTGGTCTCCTCCCGGCTCTCAAGATGATGAAGAGGCAGTTTAATCGGATGCGGCAGCAGTTGTCCCATCCCAACATCACCAGCCGGTAAGGACTTCTCTGCTACCTGTGCCGGAGGGCTGTGAGGGAGCGCGATGCCGGTCCTGGAGGGCTTGTGCTGGGGCTGGACTGATCTCCCAGGGCCGGTGGCCAGGGAAAAGGGGGGAATGACCCTGGGTTTAGCGCACCTTCTGCATAAGCTGAGGGGCTGTGACTCCCCGGCTCCCCCACACCCACAGGGCAGCAGGAAGGCTGCACCGGTGCTGCTCAGCAGGGACATGATTCCCAAGCCCAGCTACCTCTCCCAGGGATGCTGTATCCACCTGGAAACAGGCCCTTCCCAAGCTTGGCATCCCCAGGATGTGAGGGCAATGGAGAGGGACCTTCCAACCACATGCCCTTGGCTGTGCGGTGACCAGGAGGGTGTTAGGAGCTGGGACTTGCCCTCCCTGCTGAGCCCAGGGAGTCCCCCAGGACCCAGATGCCCTGCATAGCTCTAGCTGGCCGAGCAGCATGGGTGTCCCGGCATGCTGTTCAAGGAGAGGACCGGGGATCCTCGGAGCACCCATGGAGGACTTACAGCTTCACACAAATCCCTCCGGCCCCATCCTACCTCCACAGCTTCCTTATTTTTCTCTTTTAGCTTTCCAAAGCTCTCCCCTTGCAAAACCCAGAACTGAAATTACAGGGCTGGGCCCTCCCTTCCCAGCCCCCTCGCTCCCTCTTTCCTACAGCCACCTCCACAGGTTCCCCAGCGCTGGGAGGCTGAGCGGGACCAACTGTGTCCCCTGGACCACTGAGGTCCTTCAGCCAGCCCAGCAGACCGGCCACAGAGAAGCAGCTCCTCCATCCTGGTGGCCTCTTGCTCTTCTTGCCTTCCCCAGAGGGAATGATCCCCTTTCCCATCCCTCCTCCCTCAAGATGTCTCCTCTCCATTAGATGCACCTCCTTTCCATGTAATGCCGGGCAGCTCGCGCGGTCCATGAGCAAGATCTGCACCCGCTGCAGAGCCTCTCCTCCACGGGCCACAATCTCACATGATTTTTCTTGCCTTCAACCAAGCCGCCCCCGTTTCCTGCGGCTCCACAGCCTCGTCCCACGTCAGCTCTGGCGGGCGGTGAAAAGAGAGAAACGTGAACTGGAGAAAAAGCAGCAGCAGCAGAGGGAAAGCGAACGGGGTTCCTGGGGCGTAGCAATGGCAGTGGGCCGTGAAGCGAGGTTTCCTCTATGGGAGGCATCAGGGAGGTTTGGTGGTGATGGCAGCTGGTGGGTTTTGAATTTGGTTTTGAGCAGAATTTGCTGCAAGCCGGAAGTTTCCTTTGCCAGATTTGCTCCTAATACCTGCTGCCAAACCGAGCAGAAAGCTGGTTTCATGTAGCCTTTGTGGGGGTTGGTGTTGGTCTTAGTCCCCACCTTGACCACAAAGATATCCTTGCTCCGGCACTGGTGGCCCCACACCTTCTGGCCTGCAAAGACACGTGCTGGGCTCCAACAGCACTGTCCTGGATTTGCCTTCAGGGGACAGGCAGGTGGTCAGGGGTAGAAGGTTTCACCGGCAAACATCCCACTCCTGCCATGGCCCTGCTAGACACCCTGCCTCCAAAAAACAGGCTGCATCTGGACGTTTTGACTGTGGTGCTCTGAACTGGAAGCCCTATTTGATCTGGTGGGGTGTCCACCAACCAGCAAGGCTGGCTGCCTTGCCCTGCTCTTGCTGTTCTTGTCCCCCTGGGTTCATTCTGCCCATAACCTCGTGTACGATGGTCCAGGCCATAGCCTGTGTCTCCTGCTCCCGGAAGCCCAAAAAGAGACGCATAAGGACCTGCCTTCCCAAGGAGGCTGAGCGGTGGTCACCCCCATCTCCTGATGGCTCTTTCTCCTTCCTCTGCAGAGCCCAAGAAGCAACAGAGCTCTTGCCAGAAGACTTGCTGCAGGTGAGGCACGGGCTGGGCTGGCAGGCATGTGCCTGCTTGTGCCTGGGCGTGGGAACCTGCCCCGTTCCTGCCTGCGATTTGCGCTGCCGGCACGTCCAAGTCACAGA